AATATTATCGCTGAAAGTAGAGACGGTAGAAACAGTCATGACTACCGTCTATGAGCAAATGTAGTTAAACCATGCAATCTTTTCGACCTTTCCATCGCTTTTCCATAGCTCTAGCGGATGGATATCACTCAGCGATTCTACTAGGATACGATCAAGAGTTCAAGTTCTAATCCTACCTCCTTTTTACAGCAATCCAATATAAATTTATGAAATTATCATCTCCTTATTCTTTCTTTATTAGAGCATAACAAATAACCAATTTAAATAATGCAACTATTCTTCATCGATCTACTTTGATTCAACAAGGGAAGAAATGAAATTATTTTTTTCTCAATTTCTTTTTCATTTTTGTCTTATGGATTGATAGCCGCAACTAAAGAGAAGTGCAAATTAGCTCATGACATTGACATTAATTACTGTATCATAGAAGACAGCAACAACTCCTCTCAAGTCCTGTATATATATAACTTATACTATCAATTGGATGTTCTACCTGAAAAAGCTTAAACAAGTTAAAGTAAAATGGAAAGTTCAGATCAAAATAACTCTAATTTAAATCATCATCAAGTCCAGACATCGGATGGCAATCTAGATCAAGGTCTTGATTTAACATCAACAAATAGCCCGTTAGAAATTTATACAACTCCATCTCATCAAGCAGGGAAAAGTATGAAAGATTTATTCGAAGAAGACGAAGAACGAGAGGTAAATTAAAGCTAGTTCTAATTGAATCATGACAGATATAGCATAACCAAATGTCTACAACACTTATTCCTTTACCAAGAATAAAACGCAATTCTCCTGAACCACCTCAACACTTTGCATGAATGATTATTTTGGATTCTGATATTTTTTCAACTCCTTGCGTAACCTTATTTACAGTTAGAATTGCATTTTCAACTATCTCTCCTTCAGCTAATTTCATTCTTTTTTACACTTATGGATAATTTGAATTGTCAACTTGAATAGTTTCATTTCAAATTTATCCTTTTGACTACATGATAAAGTTGTGATGTTGTACAAGTTACTTTTTGCCTACAGGAAGTTAGAAAATCAATAGAATAGGTTCAATGAAAACTACGATCATCATCACTTTGAAATACTAAAGTTATTTCTCCGTTACTTCATGAAAAGAAAAAAAAATAATTCAACTTTTAAACTAAATAACAAAACTGTTTGATTGAAATAGTTAAACCGTACAATCGTTAAGTAAGACGAGTAAACGACGATATAAAAATAGTAGGCCACTAATCATTCTTGAATCAATGTCAACAATTGTTGAATCATTCATAGCCCCAATTTTTTATCCATTTATTCAAACGCGTTGAATACTAAATGGATGCGTAGGACTTTTTGATTCCATCAATTAAACTAGCGGTAATAATTAATCTTGGCCAATCATTGGATAGATGCAAAGAAGGAGCAGTTTCTTCTTCTTCTTCTTTTTTTTTATTTACTTTTCATATGCATCCAAGTACTTTAACACCAATCCATCAGGATACAATCGATTGATGTGCCTTCCAATCGGCCGACAATGTGGACAATCTACTTTCATTTTTTCTTGTCGTTGCTGTTGTATCTTTTATAAGCTGCAAAGGATAGAGGCAATAACTCAATAGCTTTAAAAGCCATTCAACAATTACATCGAGCCTACTTTACATTACTTTACAGATGTTGTCCCTATTCAATGCTCCTTTTTATATTGTCAAAGTCAATAAAAACAAAATTTGCCCACAACATTGCTTCTTGTCACTTGGAAAGAAGAAATTTCCAATTTAGACATGCCAATGGACAACTAGTCTGGTGCTTAGATGCAGCAGTTCAAGTTGAATGGAATACTATTTGTATTCAATGTTTTTAAGCCTTGTCTTTCTCTCTCCTATTTTGAAGAACAATCTACTACAAATGTCGATCTATTAAACATTTTACGATTGATTGATTCTGGAGATAATTTAGACATTTCATTTTACGGGCCCCATTTTCTTCCAACAATCCATTCCAACATCCATATCGACATGGATACCAATCGATTTTGTATAGAAATTGGATATTGAATTTTATAGGCCAACTTGTTCAACATTCCATGAAAACGTCCATATCGACATAGTTACCAATAGATTTTGTGTATATCTCTCTCTCTCTCTCTCATACATCGGATAAATTAATTGAACAGGCCATGTTGCTTTAACATACCAATAGATTGCTGTAGAAATTCGATATTTTAATATTACCGGCCAATGTTCCAACCTTCAACATTTTTTTCGGAAACGTCCTTATGGATACCAATAGACTTGATGTATAAATTCGATATTTTCCATTGCTTTTTATTTCTTTCTATAAGTCATAGCCATCCATTTTCCGCATCCACTCCATAAATACTATAGATAGAATTGACGACAATTTCGAATTATTTTGTTTACCATTAGATTGGAGTACTTTAGTTGTTGACAATCTTTTTTTAAAATTATCCAACGAGGCACAAACTGTAAACTACGCTTTGCCATCTATTCAACATCCAATAGATTTATTGACGAACCCTATCACCCAAAATAAGGTACCACTGTCACATTGCTTCTATAGACACTTTCTTAACATACTCAAATGCGATCTATCTCGAAAATAGATTTAATGATGAACCCTATCACCGAAATAAGGTACACCACGGCCACATTACTTCTATAGACACTTAACATACTCAAATGCGATCTATCTCGAAAATAAAATTTCAAATTGAATATTTCCTCGCAATAAAAATACTGTCATAGTTTTAGTCTTTTACTTGAACTGTATTATCTCTGGCCCTTTTAATCGATTCTACTTTTGAAAAGGAAAATGCAATAAGCGCAGCAATACAATATCGAATGACTAATCTGGACTAAACCACTTTCATCAAAATAAATGAAATCTATTCAACATACTTTTGTAACCAAAATGAGACATTTCTTTTTTTAGCCTTTATCCTAATTGACCCTTGTAATTATTATAGTCTATTCTAATTCTACTTACAATCGCTTTCATAACCATTATTTTCTCTTTCTCAATAACTATAATAAAAATAGAATTCAACCAGCTTGTAATAGGCTACATAGAAAGGTATCTCATGGTTGATTTCTTAGGCACCTCAAATATTTGGCATAATTGTAAGAGCAAAGATATTCTTTGACATGGGTCCATCATTGATGATGATAGTCTATACTAATCGACTCAAAATCCCTTCCCTGATCGCAATATTTCTTTCCCAATGATCCTAGACGAATTTGACAAGTTTTATAATGGGGTTTTGAGATGGTAGAGTAAACTTTTCTTCCTCATTGACCTACGGTTAGTGATCACAATTTATTCCTATTCTATTCTACCCGGAATCCTTTACCAGACTACCATTTCTTCTTCACAATGATGATCATAAAATTGAACAAGCTTACGATGGGATATATAGAAGGCAAGGAAAATCTCTTCCTTATGAACTCATGAACTAGTTGGTGATCATAATCTAATGGATACTCTATTTCAAGCATTTTTAACGCAATTTATTATTATCCTATTATTTTTAGACAAAGTCAACGGATTTTAGGCAATTTTATTACAATAGTTTGAGAAAAGATTTCTTGCATTCTTCTCCTAATCATGATAATACCCGTATATATATAGCGTATGGAATAATATAGAGAGGTATATAGTGTAGAAGATATTTTAGATTGACCAGATGCTTATTTACTTGTTTATAATTGGTACTTTTCCCTTTTCTACCATACAATTCGATGGAAGGAAAAATACAATTAATGATATTACCTTCCAAGTGATAATTTTAATTATTAATATCCAAATAATGAGCCAGATGGTGATATCGAATTATACGTATATCACAATAGAGGCTATAGGCTTTGTAGATTAGTTCTTCCCATAGGATTGAATTATATGTATGCATTCGATCAAAGTATTAACTCTAATGGATATTGACAATGTCATTTAGTTATACTATAGCTTGGCTAGCATTCGATATGATATCTATTTTATTCTTTCAATGGATTATCCTAGAATCAAAGTTACGTTGGAAATCATTTTACACTAACAGTTCAAGATAAAATACTATTTGTATTCAAAATGACTGGAAGCATTAAATAATAGATAACATAGTGATTATGTAATCTACCAGCTTACCTTACTTGGGTAATCACTGCTTAAGAATAACTCATTTTAAAATAGAGATAGAAATACGGTATTAATAGAAAATGGATAACTTGTAATATCACCTTAGTAGACCAGTAGTTACAGTTGGCGTTAATAATTTTCACGGAAATACTTTTACACGTATACAAGTATACCCCCAATGAATGACTTCAAAAGACATAAAATATACCAATTATATTTATGATTTCGTCACGAATTTTCCTATAAATTAAATTATTATCGGTCGCCAAAAAATAGCTAGAAGTTTATACTATAGAAATTGTTGCTTCTAACAGGGGGTGGAGTTATCCATTCATCAAAAATAGTATTTTCCTTCAAGATGTACTATAAAAAAAAAATGAAATGATTGGATATGGAAATGGTTTAGTAGCTTACTCCTTAATTAATTCTATTCTATTGTTACTTCTAAATTCATGTTTAAATTTATGGCCATCAATGCTTACAACACTCGTCTGCTATGTCTTGAAACTTAACCGGTATATATTTATTCTTAAAATGATATACGAATGTGGAAGCTCACTTGATTATCAATAATTGAGCGATATCATTCGCTAATCATATTTATTTTTTCTTTATCCTAACTGGAATCTCATTTGTGATCAATATTTCTTATACCAATGCTATCTATTTCTTCAAGGAAAATAATACAACAGTCTTATGTTTTAATGAGTAAATTAATGGTATCTTGATAGTTGCGCAATGATACATACACGAAAACAACACTGTAATATAGTATCTTACTAACAATACTTAGTTTCATGAAAGATATTGAAATGAAAGTTTTAATGGTATTTTATTAGGCAAAAGGTTTCCAACCATGGTGGAAAGCAAATTTCTTCGTCAGAGAGCCCGCTTTATTTGGTACATGGGACGGTAAGTAACGTTAAGCTATGCCTTAATCATAATAATGTAATTAGTAACACTATTGGATATATGGGTATTAGTGAAATAAATCAACCAAAGCGATTCTATTCATAATCATAGATATACGTTAAAAATTGTTATTTTAATGATTGCATTGGCGACACTAAAATTTATAGACATGCAACAAATTATTCTCGTTACATTCCATTATCTTTTAATTTTTTCCATGTATATTAAGCACTGAAAACTAATTTATAACAATAATTTTGATTCCTTTTGAATTCTCATTCAATATAGGCGTATTTACTAGTTGCATGATTAATATTTTTGGTGTGGTCATTTTCCTTAGGACCGGCTGGATGGTTGTAAGTACTACTATGAATTACATTCTTTCTTTTACGTCTATGCCTATGCTATACGAGGTACATTTTAAACATCATTGTTAATGCTATATAATGAACGATAAGATGGTGTCTACAACTCGACGCTAGTAATATAAACGTATAGATAGTAATTCTTCTTTGATTTATTATTTTACCAACTGTAAATAGTAATATAATTTTAAATGAATTTAGTACAATGGTACTGTAATGTATCTTTGAAAGCAAACAACTGGTAGTTTTAACATAGCTATTCAAGAGATTATATTTTTCCATTAATCCAAAAATCTTCCATGAATACCATATCGCATTTACTATACTTACTATTACCACTAAATCGAGCATTATTATAAATTAGTATTAAATCGTAAAATTTCTATTGCATTGTGATATAAGAGTATCAAATTTCGAATGTCATAGTTATTGCTTATAAAATCTTTCTTCTAGAAAAATAAACTTATTATTTTTATACATTACACCTCTGATATACCATATATGCATTAGAAAAATTAAATTGAATGAAGTAATTATAGTTAAAAAATTTAACATTGCTATTGTGAATCATCACTTACATAAATTATGATTACCATTATTACCTGTATATGGGCAATAGGGCAACGCCGGGATTATTTTATCCATGGTAATCATCCTTATTACACTTGGCATAGCTTTAATTACAGTATTATCAACTATTGGTATATGTGAACGTACGAGAATTGGAAGTGGAGGCGTTTACTTTTTGCTATCCCACGTCCTTGGAAGGCGATGGGGTGCAACTTTTGGCGTTCTATACTGTTTCGGACAAGTAAATTTTCCATTTCAATGAGTAGTTAATACTGGTATCATATTTTTTCTCACCATTTTACTAAGTATTGAGCTAACCTTAAAATTAAGTTACTGATCCATTCTATTTTAACCAATAACAATTTATATCGTATTGCAACTAGGCCGTCGGTACAGCGTTATATATAACAGGATTTAGTGAATCACTGGCTGGTGTCTTTCGGACAGAAAATATCTGGATTATTCGATTAACTAGTACTTTAACACTACTTGTTCTTCTGGCTATTGTTTTAGCTGGTGTTAAATGGGTTATCAAGTTACAATTAGTCTTACTCGGACTTTTGGGCTTAGCAGTTGTAGATTTTGTCTTAGGCACATTTATTCACAAAGATACAAATGCTGGTATGAAAAATTATCATTCATTCTGATGGAAAAATTAACTGTTGAAATGTAAGAATGGATACTTAAATATCAATCATAATTGCTTTCTTTTTTACACTGCAGCATTTGGTATTACTGGCTATAAATTAGAAACGGTTATCAATAATACGTGGCCCCATTTCCAACCCGGCCAATCGTTTTCTACTGTATTTGGTGTATTCTTTCCTACTGCTACGGGTGTTATGGCAGGAGTAAATATGAGTGGTGATTTGAAAAATCCTGGTAAAAGTATACCTACCGGATCGCTAACTAGTTTAGCAGTAAGGTAAATTAAAATAGGTCACTTTAATGGCATTATTATTAAGGTTATACCCATCACTTACTTACTATGGACTTAAAAGAGATTAATTGATTTTACTCTAGTGGATTCCTTTACCTACTTTTTGCCATATTACTTGGTTCAGTATGTACAAACGATGCCCTTGTCAGTGACTATTTAATTGCTAGTAGGGTAAGTACAGTACTATGTAATCTAGCAAAAATCTTCATTACTATGATTTCGTCTCTCAAATTAACTCAAATTACTACTTTCATAATTTCAAAATAGGTATCATGGATTACTGTTCTCTTTCTGATAGGTTTATATATCTCTTCGTTATCATCATGTTTTGGAGGATTATACGGGGCCCCAAGGGTATTACAAAAGATTGCACTAGATGATGTTGTCCCTATCCTAAAAAATCTATCGAAAGGGGTAAATTGAATTACTCTTACTATATTAAATCCTTGTCGTCATTAATATTGCAAAGAATGATACGTATAGGATATTAATAATTAACAAACAACTATAGCTACAAAACCTCGTAATGCTTATATATATATATATATATATATATATCTATATATGATGAGTGCTAACCAATAGCTTGGCCATTTTTTTTATCTAATATATTTAGCGAGGACCAAATAAAGAACCTTGGCTAGCAACCCTTATAATTGGATTATTATCATTCGTTTTTATTTTAATTGGTCATCTAAATACCCTCGGTCCAATTGTCGCTATGCCATTTATGATTACCTATAGTGCAATAAATTATTCATACTTTGCATTAGCTATGAGTTATGATAAGCAGCAAGAAATACAGCAAGAAAGAACAATTTGGCATGATACTGAAGATGACAGCTGGAAATCGTTAAATGAAGTCGAGAGGAAAAATAAAAGTGTTATGAGTTCCTACTATAGCCCTTCTGTACCACTTCCTAAGCAAGCTAGCATCGACCGTAAGGAATATGGCACGTTAAGCCATCAAGCGACATATTCTAAGCAGGATGGTGTTAAAATTACTATTAACGATGATGGACAAACCGATGAAAAGCGAAATAATAAGATCGAGGATAGTCTTAGCGACGACAAAAAATCCAAAAATTTTAATGGTCATGCAGATATTCAAGAGGAAGCAATAGGAGATGACGATGATGATAAGCAACAATTGCTATCACAAAATAAGACAACTGAAGGTATTAAAAATCTACTTTAATCTTAGTCCGTTTCCATATCGATATGCTTTATAATTTACTATTCATTATCAAAATAAAGCGTAAAAAAGGAAAACATTGATTCTACTGAAGAGTAAAGTTTTTGAAATTAAAACAATGATTTTTACCAATTGTACTTAGAAATAATATTAGAAATAAGTGGAAAACCGAAAGCTTCCTTTTCACAATTATGCAATAGATGGCTATCATTCGCTGGGGTAATTAAAATTTAAATTAATATAAATATTAGAGTTATAATATTGCATTTTTCAATATAGAAAATGTAATTTATTAAGGTATATATATATATATATATGTCTTGTTTTATTAGGCCGTAAGCTGTATTATTTTATGCTTTGTCACAAATTGGGGATATGCATTAGCTAATATTTCAGTAACACTGTTGTTATATATTTACATCGGTCAAACAAACCCCGGCTTATCATCAGGTAGAAAACCTATGTAGACTTATTATTACTCTTTCAGAAGCAAAAAGTAAAATGAAACCGATTATATATACTATATTTTACTGTTATAATGCCATAGGTGTCGCAGACTTCAATCTACTACAGTGGCTTCGTACCATTGGAGAAAAGCGTGAAAAGTAAGAGTTAGCTATCTTTCATACATTTGTTCTAGTTGCAGATTTTATTTCTGCATTTCCTATCCACTAAAATAATATTTTAAAATGTCACATTGCTTGCAGAAGAAGTAATCCATTGGCCGACCAAATAATTGTTACCAATCCAGGAGTACCGTTTCAAATTTCAACAACTCAGCTAACCGATTCTTCTAACGATTACGCTCAGAGGGAGAAAAGGCATCATTCGTCTGTTTTGGAATTGACTCCTTCTCAGTAAGTGCTGCGCTTTCTCGATGATATAATGTTATACCAATTAAAGCCTTAGCACGTAGCAGGTTTATACGTAAGATTGATAGTAATTCAACGTAACGGCTTTAGCAACTCACTAATAATATTATTTACATGTATTATAATTGAAAAGTATTTTGCTTTATCACTGAAATTAATTACATCAACTAATATTTACAGCGAACTAAGAGCATCGGATATTGTTATTCGTCAAACAAGTTCACCAAATCTAACAATGAAAGATGCGGACTTATCGAAAAATGAAACAGATACTGGATCTCAAACTCCACCAAAATAAAATGGAGTTGGATAAATTATTCCGATTGGGGATAAAAAGCTACTACAATCTATTTATATTTATCATTCTTAGCTTTATTAAAAATTCTAAATTCTAATATAAATTAGTTTACTGTCTATCAAGTACCTTATGATTTATCCCAAACAATGCAATTTTCTTTTAATGAATTACTTTGTGGTACTGAAGATTTCTTGCCAGAGATTATCATTCAAAATTAAAATTAATTTGATATTATTTATTTCCATGTCTGTAAATAATATTCTTCTTAGATGCAAGAGCAAATACGGCCTCGAACACTACTGGCTATATTGTTATCAGTTGAGTGACGGTGATATACGCCGATTTAAAGTCAAAAAACTTGTTATAATTTCGTTTTCTGTTCCCTAAACTATATAAATGGTTTACGTTGTCTGATGATAAAATTTTAATAAAGTGTTGAAGAAAATTCAGTCTATTTCAATTGATGGCTTTACGCGCAGTTACTTATCAGATACTTATTAACTACTAAAACCTAATGCGACTAAACCTGCTTAGAATACATGCTTGTACAATTTTGTCAAGAATCGATTTTTGATATCGAGAAATTAACTAGAAGGCAACAGCGTCAGTACTTGGAAGAAATATGAAAACTTTATTGATTTGCGTCAAATACTGTATAACAATCACACAAATTTTAGTGAGAAAGTCATTATAAACCTCTGTTATCTAATTTTTTGACTTTATAAATTCTGACTAGCCAGTGCTCCGTGGTATAAGCTTCTTCAAGAACGTCCAATTGAAAGTCCTATATTGGTAAAAATAACCAGTATATTAGTCATAGATATAATTGAGGACCTATCACTATATAAAATATACTACCATCATTAATTCACTACCTTATTGCCAATTTCAACGTTTCTGACTCGGTCATAACCGGACGGTTTGCCTATAAACATGCGGTAGAGTATATTGTTAGTAGAGCGCACGCATTAGATGTTAATACTGACGACGATGATTTATTACCTTGTTCAGTATACATTTCACCAAAGCGATAGTAGCACATCTTGTACATAAGACAATTTAGTAATATCGGAGATCCTTCCTTATCGACACGGAATTCACCGGTTTTTGTGTAGTAGTCTTCTTCTTTGATATGTTTTCCTTTTTCCGTACTACCACCGATTCGTACCATCCACAGAAATTTATTGATATCATCCGATGCGTATCCAGTCAGTCCGCCAAACCAGACCAAGACATAATCAACATCTAACTCTCTCATAATTTCATATGCCTTGTCTTCAGAAGAGGACATAGCCTTGTATTATAAATAAAGATAAGGCATAAATTTAGCATTTATTACACTAATAATGCAATACGTGATAGTAAAAATTAATTTAGTTTAATAATCGATTATATCAATATTAAACAAACCTGCCCCACACGCGAAATATGAGTATTATTCCAAGTGTTATTATCAACTAAAATAGTTCTATTTGCCATGGCAGTTATCTGATACCCGTAATCCCACCAAGACATAACCTTTGCATCCTGACATTACAATAAAAGCATAAAATTTAGGTGTAAAGTAGTGAAAGAATAGCGCTGTTAAAAAAAATGATAAGTTTGTAATACTTCTGGAGTATTTTCACGTAGCCAGTAGTAAGCTTCTCTAAAGTCATCAAATATAATTTTCGAGCCGTCGTACTGCTTTGCAGCGAGAACAATAGATGGCGACGAGTAAGCCTCAGATGTAACCTATACAAATTACCGGATTGCAATACAATAAATTCAGCTAAAACGGTAATGATTTACTATGCAAACTACAAACATAGCACTCGCACTACTCACCCAGGTGCAATGAAAGGTATATGTAATCAGGAAAAGGGTCATCATGCCGATGACAGAAACTGCAACCTAGCTCCAATAGAACCATAGGTAATTAAAATTTAACCAAGTTTACGATAGATAAGTAACTCTAGTTACCTCCGTTTTGACAGGATAAGTATCCTGACGTTTATTTCTTTTATCCTTGCGTGTTGTTTCTAGGTTCTATTTTGTATTTTAACGATTAACTTATACCGAAACATCATCGTATAATGTTTAAAGTATCGCAAAAGAGTTACCTTCATAAAAGCCGATAAAATGGACGAAACTCCAATACCAGATAGAATGCAACAAACAGGCGCTAACACTAACATCAAACGAACCATAACCCCCTGAAAACAGCAATTATATTAGCAAAGGTCGTTACCTATCGCTTGCATGTCTATCTAAGATAGTCTTAAAATCGCTTACAGCAAAGTAAATACTTGTGACCCCGTAGATTATGATAAAAATGTTGGCATCGGTTAAATGCTTGAAGCAGAAGTACAATCCAGCTGTTAGAAAGAAATTGATTGGTTATAAATTTACTACGAAAACAATATAAATTATATTCAAATATCATCAAAAGATAAGATCCTAACCTGGAAACATGAATACGTGCATTTGCAAGTCGAAGTAGAATGAACTCCAAGTAGTCGGTTGATGTTCAGATACAGATGCGATAATAGGGATGTTGTTCTTAGCGTAAGAAGGATCAAGTAGTGAATAGAATCTTCCAGTCCAAGGCGCAATTTCTTTTAATTTACTGTTAAGGTTAGTACATGTAAATAGGGTGTTATAGTCAAATTGAAACGCAGTTGAAATATTTTTCATTTTGAGTATTTTTAAATTATAGATCAAAGGATACTGCCTGTTATCCCCAAAATTATGGCAACAGCTCCGACTATGACTAGAACAAGAATTGCCAAGTTTTTAAACAGGATTTGAAAGTAATCTTTGGACAAGCGAAAACGCAAGTATTCAACAAAAGCATAAATTTGGCATAACCCAAAGACACCAAAAGCCTAGTGATTGAATGATGAATGTAGTCCTTAAGACAAGCAACATCTATCAGATATAAGAAACGATTTAACGTAGCCGTCTATTACCGCCATGTGTTCACTGGATTGAACCGGTTGAAAGCCTACGAATGAAATTTGCATGGAAAGAATAGTTCCTAGGCAATACATCTATTTATAGGATCGATAATTATAATGATTACATGAGTAAAATATGAATACGGATAATTAGATTGAAAATATTCAGTAGCGCGAAAATTTACTACCAAACTTATCTGTACTTATCCTAACACCATATAGAATAATTTCATCAATTACTTACGGTAGAGTATGCGATGTAAATTCGATGCGAAAATCGTCCAGTCACCATCAAGACAAAAACGTGAATTGGGATTAAGTTGATTAAGAAAACGTAGCCACCCCATGAGGAAACCTAACAAGGTAATTAATTTAAGTTCATAATCTTTCTTATTATTTACTGACTTTTCACTGTGTTAGAAAATACAGCTAGATGCTAAAGTATTACTGCTATTACCATGTAAAAGTAGCCCAAAGAACACATTGCTGCCCAATAAACGGAGCCAGTCTTGACGGCTTTAATCCACATGTAGTAAGTAAATAACATACAGAAGATAGCGATACCTTCGTTATCGTATGAGCCAGCAACAGAACGAGATATGTATCCTGTATGAAAATAACATAATTATTTTTATTCCTATCCAGGTCAATTATTAGTAAAGAATCCAAGTCTATAATTTCTTTACTTATTTACAGGATATCGAAAGAGAAAGAAATTTGTTACTTACCAGGTACAATTGCAATCATAGCAGCAGCTACAAGGCCAGCCTTTGAGTCCTACGATCCCAAAGAAAAAATCAGATTATATAATCGAATATTTCAACGCTTATACTGAAACTAGAAACAATTTCATATAGTAATCAAAGATTATCTTTACCTGCTAGCATGTAATAAAGCTCGTGTGAATATACAGTAGATTGTAATTATATTTCTTTATAATCCTAACATACACGTTACGCTAAAGCTAAAATATGTTATCCAATAAATATTGATGTAGCTTGCTAAAACTAGCTAGAGACACTGTAACTATCGGAAATCCTATTCATAGTTGTTCGTTACCCTACTGTATCGATCTCACCTTTAATTCCTTGGTCAGGCCGTAAGTAACCAATGTTGTACATGAAGAGAAGAGGGGAGCGAAAAATACGCAAACATTTCGTATTTCTATCGTTATATGGAACCAGTTCAGAACATGATAGATGAAGGCAGAAGTAACCATTAATCCTTGAATAAATGAGAAAGATTGCTATGGATTACTATCCTGAATATGGAAGTGGTCTTGAATATTATCAATGGTTGTCAGTTAACTATCCAGCACATCGATGATGATACCAGTTATCATAATTGTTAGCGCACTAGCTCAGCAACCATCGTATAACATTTTACTCAATTTAATATTTTAACAAATGAGAAACTGTGTTGCATATAAAGATTGTATCGTTAACAAAAGCTACTCACTATTCCATTGATACATTCGTATGAAGTGTATTTCAAAAAAAAGTATTGAATACTACCGCACTAAGTTGGCTACAGTTGCGGTGGCACGGAATGTGCACAGAGACGATTTATTGTAACAATCCGATTGCATTGTATTTAATTCTTTTTACATCATTTACGAAAAGAGCTGTATTTTGCTTAACCATATAACTATGTAAAGCCAAATATAATCCGTAAACCTTATATTAAGAATAGCCATTTGCGTAGTTTAAATTTTATATATACTGTATAAAGGAATTGATCTGTACTGTTACATTAATCATACGGTACTGTATTGATAATAATATATTACCTTATTCTTTTGTTTAATACACTTTATCATACGGGCTTGTAATGATACTCAGTGCAAGCACAAGATACCGCAGATAAAAAACAAGCGATACCTTGCTCGCCGCACATTAGTAAATCAGTAATAGTTTGACAACGTGATGTAAGCTATCTCATTACTATATAATCAAATAAAAGCAACCCAAACAAATTACTAAAGACTATTCTGATCCTTTCCAAAGGACATTTTGAACTGATCTAAGTCAGTCAGTATCCATGAATTGCTGTATCATATTGACGAATGCAGACAGTGATTTTATTGAGGATCTTTCGGATTATCGAAAGAAAACGGTTTAGAGATAACGAATATAAATTTCTGTATGGTAGCGTAATCAATAGGAACTTCCCGTGCTTTTAAGCATGATTTCAAATTTGTAGGCAAAAGTGTGATCAAGTATATTTGACAATGAAATTCTTACCGGGATAGATGGTTCCACCGATGATACGTCCTAAAGGATACCATGCACGATCATCAAACCAGTTGTGAAAGCTGTAGAACCCTTCTTCAGCCAAGAAACGAGTTGTACGATAGTTAAAGTACCTAAGATGGGCGATATTGTTTCGATTTGAGAAACTAGAACCGGTACCACACCAAGTCGTTGGTAGAATATTAAATTATATAAGAAATCAATTACTCGCAGAACTTACGGATCAAATTCGTGAATAACACTCTCGAATCGTAAGACTGAAAACAGCCTAGTGGCAAACGCTAAGTAGCAAAAAGAAAAGGTAAAGAGTAGCTCTATTAGTCTTTCTTACTTAGTAAAAACCAGCTATGGAAAAATTTTAGAATTTAACATGTTCCATTTTCATCAAGTATGACATCTTGTCAATTTAATATTTGAGTTAGTGATTACTTCAAGATTAAAAAAGAATGCATCACAATGAGGATTATTTGCAAAGTTTGTACAATAAAGTAGGAGAATAGTTGAAGGATTTATTGCTATGATTAACCACATTGCTACTAGAGTATCAATACTATAGCGTAATAGCATGAAAAATTACTAGCGAAACAACGGTAACTTGATCGGACCCGATGCAATCTACATACTGTAACGTCAGAGATGAAGTAGGGGAAAGCATAATTTTAAAAGAAAAGTCTTCACAAACATGTACTCGTACTTTTAACCATAGTTATCATCATTGGAGTTCATTTCATTATTTAGGCTAAAATACAGCTTTAATGGCCAGAAAATTATGTCGAAAAACACTGTCTAACTTGGCTGCAGAGCTACAAAAAAATCGATTTAGACAGAAATAGTAAGATTGGCGGAGTAGACGCTACCTGCTATGAGCACGTAAAATACCTCTTGTACACTGGACATTGAAAAGGAACCATTTACGCACAACGTTTTACAAAGTATTCTACTGTACCGTTCACTGCATAGGATAGTAGGATAGACTATGCCAGTGTAACGACTAGAATAGCAACGGGCACACTGTCACCTACAAGACTACCACTTGTAAAAATAACCAACAAGCCATACTATCCAAATGTATTTTACTTGTCGTTTACTCCATTTCAACTATTGAATGATAGCAAATGAACTAACATTGGTCAAGATTTGAATAAGAAGGATTACTGTGAAATGCATTGAAATGCATCTTTGGCAAAGAAGATCAATAATAATGCCCTAAAATCTTACATAGAACGACTGCAATAGACAAGATAACCAGTTTAATCAACGTTTCTTGCTTCTCAAAGGACATTCTGCCCACTAGAAAAGAACTTTTACTTCCGAAAGATCCTAGCAGTGACATTTTTCACTGAATTTTGCCTAATCTAATGTCTAAAAAAAATGGCCAGTGATAGCAGTAAAGGATTCAACTCCTTCCTCGAAACTAAAGCGCTCCACCACTAACCGAGTGAGACTATCAGATCGTACTGTATACTGTGTGAGTAGACACAGAGTACAGTCACTCACTGGTCACGACAGTCTACTGTACGTCAAACGTAGATGGGAGGTGGGTGAGCATGCCGCTGTTGCAACGAACGACACCCGGAATGACAGACCTGACGCCCGTGACAATTCACTTCAGTCACCACTTCAAAATTGAATGACACGTTGTCTATTAAGGTATTGTTACTGCTGTACTGTACAGTGTACACTGTACACTGTACAGTAGTGCACACTTTTCTCTACAGCATGTACGGTACAGTACAGTATTTGTACAATGTACAGTACTGTATTACACTGTACAGTAGCCCCAAACAGAATGGTTCCAACTCTACTGTACAGTGTACAGTACTGTACATACTGTACTTCTACAGTATAAAATGGCTCTCAACAGAACGAGTTGTACAGTACAGTACTGTACTGTACTGTACTGTATGCATTCTAAAGTACTGTACAGTACTGTATGCATTCTAAAGTACTGTACACTGTACACTGTACAGCAGCCCCAGACAGAATGATTCCAACTCGACTGTACTTCGATAAAATGGCTCTCAACAGAACCAGTTGTACAGTATGCATTCTAAAGCATCGATTTTCCATTTCAACGCCAAGTAAATAGGCCAAGTTTGTGTTTCACTGTCGGAATATCACATTACTAGACTGATATTGACACTACAGTACAGTCGATGGTACTGCATAGTGACATAGACACCACTCTGCTGTGCAGTGTAAAGCTGACAGTGTTGTAGACTCATAAGTTAATTGTAAACGACGACCAGAAGTCAATAGTAATCCACATAGAGATTCCTATTCAGTCGGTGACTCAGCCTTTTGGTCAGCAATTGCATTTATCGAGCCGATTTCTTTGACCCAATTGACTCTGATGACGCTCTACAGCTAGGGACTCACTGAGTCAAAAATAAGGGAATTTACTGTACTCTGAATGAAGCATTGAAATTGAAACGCCGATGATAGAAATGAAAAGAAAACACGTACTCTTGTCAGTATTGATGCCCAAGGGCTAGAGAGTCGGGTTTTTATTCTTGCACTCCGATGGCGTACAGAAGCCAATCTCACAAAGGCCTTGAAGGCATTGATGAGTACCACACCAGTACAGTGTAAGGATACAGGCTATCAACTTAGGCGACTGCATGCTATGCTTCACTTAATCACACGGAAGCTCATAGAATAGAATGTATTTTTATGGAGAGCGTCCAATTATTTTGACTCATCGACGGTGCACGGAATCAATGCTACCCGCTACCGTATACCACGCAAGATTGAGGTGCCACGTCAATGCGGCATAATGAATTGGCCACAGATAGCGCTGCAAGCAGTACACAGTTGGTTATCAATAGAAAGAAAAATAACACCTTTAAAATTAAAATTATTACTGTACTATTCAATAGTATTGATAGCTGATTATTCATAAAGAGTGTAGAATGGTAAATACAAATATTCTTCTTATAATAGCCGAGATTCCCTAGCGACTGCAGCCTTTTCATAGTGCTGCTTTATTAATTGAAATGATACGCATGCTCTGCAGTAACCATGACAACATAAACAGTACAGAACACTACTGGTAAAATTTCCAGCCGATGAAACTCTTCTAAAATCTTTACTACCTATACTAGTCAAACCAAACAAATACAATGTATTATACATCTGTATGTATATAGATACTACTGTAGCCTAATTCAGATATAAGAATACTCTCTTTGACTATCCAACATACGATCGTAAATAAAGTAAAAGTAAACCCTTTTCTAGTCAGGCTTTGGAGATAACTCTTGATGTTGGCAGTTTGAAAAACTCCATTTAGAAATTTTTAAAGAGGACGCACGGAAAGCAGTGTTCAGCCGTAACATGATGTTTCAAGTTGATCAAAGGTATACGTACTTCTAAAATAGATAGACCTAAATTCTAGGTTCATCTTTACCTCTTTTTGTTCTTCATAACATTTATCTTAAGGTGATTTGGATGTCATTTTTAAACCCTTAAAAAGTGATCGGTTTTTAATACTTTTAGTCGTCCCTTGTTTTTCTTGTTTTTCTATTTTCTACATACATCATCGATATTATTAGGTTTGATTTATAAAATAACACGTACTATCACAATTATGTTATATTATATAACTGTACGATTAAAACTTTCAGTCAAGAAAAAGTGGATTTCTCCTATTTTAATACAAATGATTGCCAATATTCTCTTATTACCAACGCTAAATGACTACAGAATCAAATCACATCAACGACTATAACGTTGTTAATAGATTGACAAAATAGAAGAAGTATATTACAGTACATAAATTGATGATCAAGTGTGATAAACAGACAGGTCCAAACTACTGGTACATCACTGGTATATTTCCATAAACCTTTTTGCAGCCACACACTCCAAATGGTAACTCAATAGAATTAGCCATCAATAACCACTAGAACACAATTTGTATAAAAACGATCGTTAGTTCATGTAGGCACACATACTGTACATATATACCTTCAAATAGACTGCGGTATATTATAAAGTAGTAATACCGGTGGTTTATGATAGCTTAGAATTAATAAAACAATATACTACCTTTACTACGCCTTCCTTTCATATCTTCAATTTACCAAGATCGAGACCTTTTCTGGAACAACAATACAATATGCAATACAGGAAATAGCAGAATGATTCAGTACCAAAACCCAAAATTGTATTTTCTCCACTGGAATTTATCAATCATTTAAATTTAGTGTGTAACCTAACTTAAATTGACAATACTTAACAGTAAACTAAGATTTTATCAGCCCATAGACTAATACAACTTTTTAAGAGCGTATCATTTAGTAATGATATATAATATAATGTCAGCGCCCTATTTCCTTATCAAAAATTAATTGAACTAATTGTATACCAATAAAAATACGATAACTTAAAATTTTTTCCTCGTAATGGATAACTATCAAGATAAGCACAAGATGTCCAAATTGCCTTTAATATCCCGGTTTCAAGACGTTAACATATTAGTACATAATTTTGTAAAGTGTATTGATAATACCAATGTGACTGAATTCATTATAATTGCAATAGAAACTGATTCAGAAGTAAAATCAAATTGCAATAACCTTACTTGTCGTCAACTGATCCCGACTGATTTATTATCATCTACTTCAATAGGGAAAGTAGCAGATCTAGTGTTCATACAATTAATTGCAATTATAATCATTCCTAAACTAAGAATTACTTCAAAAATGATATAACATGAATTTAAATATACACTCGCATATAAAGTAAATTTTATATTTCTCCTATGTATTGTACACTATTCCATAATTGTATTTCGTACTAAAAAACTTGACTGCCATCTTAATTCAAGTGATTAAAGTGGATAAACCGATACCATGAAAATGAGTTCATGTCATGCCATCACTTTATTATAAACTCACGATCTAGTCATCAAAACAACCAAGGATAACCTAAAATTGTTCTTTGTTCAAGTCAATCAATTTCTATTTTTTATCGATTGAACGTCCAACATGCGATTATTTCTAGATTTTCTAGCCATTGTCTGACTATTCCATATTATCAATTAGTTCGGATATGATTTTTTACCCATACAGTAAATGTTTTCTAACTAAATATCACCTTTGCATTATAGTCCCTTAGGTTCTTATAATAGTCTACTAGATAGACATTTATCTGGCTACTTTGCCAATAATAGAATAAGAAAGCACCTAATAAAAACTGGATTGGTAAGTCAGCTATCATCAATTTAAAAATTGTTTACAGTTTTTTTATCAATTGTAAGGTTAAGGATTGTCATCAATACGAACAATATAGCGTTGTAATATCGCATTTAGAGATATTATAAATATAAAATTCCGACATAACTTTAACTTATATTTACCATAATATATTCTACGTATGAAAAATTGTCATATTAAAAAATTTTCATTTTTATACTACCACTTCATTATGCAGCAAAATTGTAATATTATAAAACAGAAGCTAAACACTACAACTAGCATATCAGCTGTTATAATAATACTAAATTAACACTATTTACTTCAGATAACAAAACAAGGTGAAGTGGTTAATGAAGCAGCTTGGAGAGCAAAGATAGCTCGTAAAGAGCACAAGCGACGTTTAAAAGATGCCCTAGCAACAGCTATTGTAAACAAAGTGATTGATATGGAGGTAGATGCCTAAAATATTATATCTAAACATAACATTAGATAATTTAACAAGTCATATTAAGATAATTTTATCCAAATATAACAATATTTTTGACTTATAATAATTATTATAATGGATAAAAATTTAATCAAAAAATACGATCTCAACATTTAAAATAATCCTATTGATTTAAAATGAAATTTCCTATACCTTACATTGATCTTTTTATTCTTATCTGAATAGAAAAATCATCGATTACTAATTAGAAATAAACTAGAAGAAATTTCAAGAGATAAAATAATCAAAGATATCAAGGTAAAGTGCAATTTGAATCCAAGCACATGTGATCATTAATAATAATAATAATAAGTTGCATTGAATATCGGATAAAGGTATTGAAATTTAATAGATTAGTATTGCATGTTATGGTAATTTTGGATGATATTAAATATTCAGTTTGATGACGTTACATTAAAATTAAATAACTCATTACTTATGTTGATAATATCAATATGATACCTATTATACTATCGCTATCTAATAGATATTCAGTGGTAATACAAAAGGTATAATTCTTTCTATAGAAAATAACATAACTTTCATTTGCATACGGTAGGAATCACGCAGTAAAAATTTGAATGCTGATAGAGATAT